CTGCCCTTCCGTGTGCTGCTCCACCGTTTATTAACCGAGGAAGGAGATGGTGCCGCCGCGTCGACATTCTGAAGCAGCGGAACTCATCAGCCGACCGACGCCCGCACCTTGGCACCGTGGCAAGGAGGTTCGGCAGCGTCGTCGTCGATGTTGAGGAAGAAGAAACCCCTGCGCCCCGCCGCGCCACCAGCCGGGAGGCGCCTGTCCGCGCCCCCACGCGCCAAAGACGGCCTCGTCGACGGCGCCGAGTCCACCACCGACGTCCCCGGCGACAGGCTCGAGCCGCTCTAGGAGGCCTTCGACGGCCTCGCCGCGCCGTTCACGGAGTTCCTGAACACCACTGGGCGCCCGCTGTTGCCCTGGAGCACAGGGTGCTGTGCGCCATGCTCCAGACGAGCGCCGTCGTGATCGCCGTCATTGCCTGTGGGGCGTCGGAGCATGCGGAGCTGGTAGCTGCCTCTGTGTTCGAACAGATGCCCACAGTACATGTACAAGAACCGCCGGCGGTATGCCCCGTTACGAGTGGGAGGGGGACGCGCCCTTGTTTGCCACCCATGCTGCGTCGGGTATGTCCATCGTCCGGCGGCGCATCACCTTGACGCTCGAGACTTGCACGATCACGGCCATGCGGAGCTGCCGGCTGCCCCGAGTGGGAGCTCCACGCCTTCACGCTTGCCGCTGCGCGCCTCGGCAAGACACTCTTCCCACTCGGCCTCCTACCGTCGTCGCCGGATGGAGGGCCGTGGCGCCGGCGAGAACGGAGACGCGCAGCCACCCAAGTCGGTCGTGTACGTCGTGCTGGCGAGCGAGGTGCCGCTGCGCGTGGACTGGTGCACGAGCTGGCTGTTGGGCTGGAGCTCGCTGGGTTGGATGGGCTGGGTGCTTGGCCCAGGCTGAAAATAATTAAGAAAAAAAATTGGCTGCTTTGGGATTCGTGAATTTTTTTTTAGGGAGGAGTACTGGAGCAGATGCCGTATCTTATTATTATCTGCACTATATATTACGGACTCTCTCCGTCCAAAAATATCTATCATTTTCGTTTCAAAAAAAACAATTTTGACTAAATATATAAAAATATCAATATTTATGGTACATAATTAATATCATTAGATAGATATTTAAATCTAATTTTTTAATAAAAAAGTCCATATTACTCCCTCCAAGTTTGGCCTATGTCCAAATAACCTCCCAAACTAACATTTGGTTTAATTTACTCCTCCAACTATTTAAGCTGGTCCAACTAACACCTTAAAGAGATTTTTCTTTTTTTGTTTCTCTATGTATAAATACAAATTATATTTTAGTTTCAAATTTTGTGAGGTGATAGAGGACATTGTATTTTGTAACAGAAAATACACTATGAATTTTTCATCACTATGTTTTATACGAGATTGTACCTCCATGTTAATTTATTATTAAATTTCCTAAGCTATCAAAATAATGGCAAGAAGTTAAGATATGTTTTTCTAACATAACTTATGATGTTCTCTGTCCTATCACAAAAGTTGAGATTAAGACTCAACTAATATGTGGAAAAACAAAAACAACAAACCATGTTAAGGGGTAAACTAGACCAACTAAAATAGTTGTAGGGAGTAAATTGAACCAAATGTAAGTTTAGGAGGAAATCTGGACATATGCCAAACTTGAGGAGAGTAATTTGGATATTTTCCTAAATGTTGCACATATTTTCTGCAAAATCGAGTTAAACTTTCGGCACGGCAACCAACGACGACAGTTAATTTAGGACAGAGAGAGTATATGAGTATTATATTATATAATTATCAATATTTATAGAGGATAAAAAATAGTTTTCTTGGCAGTGTGCCACATGCTCTACATCGACTTGACTTTGAAGTTAGCATTGCGATAATGCTCCAGTTAAGACGTACGAAATGGACAGATGCCTCACTCGCTCACTCCCGCACCATGTTCCTTGCTTCCTCCTCCCTTCCGCGCTCGCGCCCCGCGCCTACCCTGACCCGTGGCCATGGCTGGCTCCCTGGCCGGTGGCAGCGCACTCCCCCACCCCGACGTCCTCACCCACCGAGAGCGCCCAACGCCCGCGGATCTCGTGGCCCTCTCCCCACCCCGACGAGATCTAAGTAAGCCGCTGACCCTCCCCTACCTTAGTCGGCGGCGCCCTCCCTAGATCCGGCAGCGTCTCCTCTCCCTCGGGCGACGACGGGCATGGCGGGCGGGCGGGCACGCACCATCCAGTGAGCCTGCGCCACCGCAATTGCCCACCAGGTAGGTCATGGACGTGCGGCGATGCCGTGTTTTAAGTGTTTCTGGATGCTTTTCAGACATGTTGCAAGCCCATATTTTAAGTATTTCAGTTGTTTCAGATGCATGTTTCAATTGTTTCATGCGGATGTTGGAAAAATAGATCGGAATGTTGCATATGTTGCAATGGTTGTACACGTATGTTGCAAGTATCTATCCCCTTGTTTCATCTGTTTTTTACACGTATGTTGCAAGTGTTTCAGACGCATGTCTCAAGTGTTTCATCTGTCTTCTTTTATATGTTGCAAGTGTTGCATCTAAATGTTTCAAAAGTAGACCGGGATATTGCACATGTTGCAATAGTGTTTTAACTGTATGTTCTAAATGATCCATCTGTTTTAGACGTATGTTGCAAATGTTTCATCTGGATGTTACAAAAGTAGATCAGAGTGTTGCACGGCATGGCCGGTGGCTGTCGCCGCTGCTAGGGCGCAGCCGTGGGTCAACCCAGCTACGCCTGAATCGATTTAAACCTCCAAGTCGTGAATCGATTTACACTATAAAATTGTAGATCTGAAAAGTGGCGTGACAGCGTTTTCCACGTCGGAAGCGCTGTCTAACGTGGCGGATGTTGCTGCGCCAATGCATGTGGCGCGACAACGTTATTTGGTCTGGCGCGACCAAAAGGGTCAGATCCGAAAAAAAATTAGAAGCAATTATTATTGAAATATTGAATACAAAAGGATTAAAAAATCCGTAGGGCCATGGGTAGGTAGGGGTGGAAGGGCAGGAGTGTGGTATAGAGGTGGACGTATCGACGACGGTGTAAGTAGCAGTGCTCGACTATTGAGAAGAACATGGAGTCATGAACAAGGGAAGAAGAAAAAATAAACTAGTAAAGGATTCACGAAGAATGTCGTTTATAAAGAGGTTCTATCTATGTACAAAAGGTAATATCTCCCTTTAATATATATTTTTCCTATATATAATCAACATACTTTAGCTTTAAATATTAACAAACAACTTACATGCATGAAAAAATTGACTATGGTGACTGGACTTATCCTTTAGCCCTCGTTTAGGTGAGTACTTGTATTTTTGTACGGTCTCTTCGTGTTTGTAAATAAAAGGAACCCTTCAAATTCTTTACTTTTTATTTGAGTAAATTATGTTTACCATATAATAACTTGATAGAGTACAATGTACATATTGGTCCAACACCTTGTAAACTGCTGATAAATAAATAACTTAACAAATTGATGCATATAAGGTCCAATCATTACTAATATGACAAATACAATACATACTCTCCGATTAGGTTAGAATTAATGGATAATCCAGCCAGTATAAACATCCCAAATCAAATCATGACAATATTAGACTGGTTGCAATCTAAAGATGATGACGTTTGCACTAGGAATTTCTAACCTACTATATTGGACAAAGAAGACATAATATTTTCATCTGGTCTAATTATTAACAAAATCGATACATCACAGTAATAATCCTATCAATACCCTATGCTATCACTCCAGTATCCAACAACAAACTTTTTTCCGTTTTGCTAAAATTTGGCTTATGTTGATGCTTATGCTAATTTGTTGTGAAAGGAAAATTCTATTCACCAGCTTAAAAGTATTGCTGAAGTAGTTCAAGAGAACATGGCTTGATCACCTTTCAGTGAAGACACAAACTTATAGGATAATATATTAGAGCTGCTTTGGAACACATATATATAAATGATAAAACATATCAAACGAAAAGCATAGGAATATGAGAGGAATGCCAGTGCAAAAGAGAAATAAAAAAGGAGCTTTTCATGCCCAGGTGTTTGGATAGGCAAAAGAGAAACACAGGAATCTTAAAAGGAATTTTAGGAGCAAATAGAACTTGCTTTTTTGATTAACCTAATTATTCCATTTTACTCCCTTGACAAGACACAAGTTGCTATGGTAGATCCATTGTTTGCCTTGTTCCTTGTGCATAGGAAATTTTTCATGAGGTCTCAGTGGATTGCTTTTTCCTTGTAGGTTTCCATTGGAATTGAAGGGAAAGGAAAAGTTAGTTTCATTTAGAATTCATGCTGAAGGGAAAGGAAAGTTAGTTTCATTTAGAATTCATGCTAGCAATTCCTATGAACCAAAGGCTGCTACAGAAATCCAATTCATAGAAATTTGAATCCTTTGTTTTTCCTCCATTCTATACGAGGCTTTAGCCAAGAATAGAGCAGTTGATGCAAGAACAGAAAAACTCCATGGTTGCACTCTTACCATCTTACGAGCCTATGAGCTAATACCAATAAACCACATTCAAACACCCTTTGGAACAAAGGAGAGATGGAGGAATTTTAAGGGATCGGAGTTCTATACAAAAATTTTCAATAAAGCCCTTTGGAACAATGTATTTCCTACAAACCCTATAGTATGAAATGGTTTGTTTTATGATAACTTTGGAGGAATTCTACCGAGAGGTTGAGCCTTATGGAGAGTTTTTTTTTGTCACTCTCTCTCATCAATTTTTTGTTTTTTTAATGCTCCATCCAAACGTCCAATCTTATATAAGATTCAAAATGTTAGCGCATATTCCTCCGTTTTCAGAATCTTGCGTTCAAAAAAGGCCCTTATGTCTTTTTCCCCCTTCAAAGAACTGTCGGCGTGTAGCTCCCGTCCAGGATCCCAGTATCTGACAAGGACCGGCCAGCAGCCGTACACCGGCGCCTATCCCCGTCACTGGTCCCAAGAGCAGCAACGAGATGCCTCTAGATCTCGCACGAAATGGCCCCACCGCTGTTCATCCTCGCCGTCATCCTCTACGTCGTCTCCGCCACCGCCGTCAAGGCACTAGTCTTCGACGTGCCGTCGGGCAGCTCCAAGTGCCTGACAGAGGAACTCCACCGCCGCGCGGTCAGCCACGCGTCGTACCGCGTGGTGGCGGAGTCCACTTCAGCGGCCGACCGGAAGATCTTGGTGCGCGTGACGGGTCCGCGCGGTGAGGAGCTCTACATGGCGGAGGGCGGGGAACGCGGGGAGTTCAGGTTCGAGGCGGCGGAAGACGGTGAGCACACGGCCTGCTTCTGGTCACCCCGCTACGAGCGCGGCGCCGTTGTCTCCGTCGACGTGCATTGGGCCACCACCAGTGTCGGCGCCCACGCCGGGGGGTCCAGATCCCCGCCCGCCGTCGCGGTTGGCAACGAAGGCCGCATTGCTGTATGCTCCCCATCACCTCTTGCTCCGTTTTAAGTTTTGAATTAACTGTTTTGCCTGTTTCCTACAATGAGCATAAGAGAACTAAGCAGTATTCTTTTTTTTCTATTTCTAAATTCGTTTCAGAGGAATCTTTAGTTTAATCACATTGCAAATTCATTGCATGTTGGTAACAAGAATTACAAGAATATTAACAGGAATAACATGAATGCCCAATGGCAAATGCCTAAATGAAAATTTAGGCTTTGTAGGCTAATAAGAAAACTTGTTGTTTATGCTCACATGCTTCACTAGAATAATTGTAACAATTTACAATATTGTTGCTTTATCGTTTGGCCTACTACAAGTAATATTTTGACTATTGCAGACTCAGCCACTGCAGTTATTAATTGGATCGTTGGCTTCAAACTTTCCAAATTCAGTTCATGAGGAAGGAGATGTTTGAGAATGTCCTTTAGCTTTTCCGTAAATGAAAGAATATAGCCATATAGGGAAACTTAGCTGCCCATTTTAGGTGTGGTATTCCTACAGTCTCCCTGTCAAAGTACTGAGAGCAGTCTTTTAGAGTCCTTTTTTTTTTTGAAAAGTTGTCTTTTCAATACCTGTAACTTCAAAATGTTTTTTGCAGACCATCGCAGGAGAGTTGAAGAGACTGGAGGTTTCTGCTCGACTCATACACCAAGAAATGTTATCTTTTCGCCAGAGGTGGTCTTCTTTTCCATTGGGTAATGGGTATGCATACAAGAAGCTCTATTTGGGCATATTCAGTCATATAGGATGAGGACGTATTTTTGCATCCATGGTAACGCTATACTGTATGATATTATACGCATCCACTAGTGCATGAGCAACCAAACACTCCTTTACCAATCTGAGTCCAGGCTTCTGATTTGTGTTGCTCACTGATCTTTCACCTATTTCTATCAGCGAACTTGAGCTGCAGAGGCTCAACGAAGACACCGCCACAAGATTACACTCGTTCACCCTATTGTCATTGGCCATGTGCGTGGGGGTTGCAGCATTGCAGTTATGGCATCTGAAGACTTTCTTTCAAAAACAACATATACTATAGAAGCAAGCAGGGGACACTGAGCTGACCCATTGTTCCTGACTTCCTGTACAGAATCTTTTCCCCCCGGTATCCATAAGATAGAATGGACTTTTCGTGTTTTTTTTATAGAAAATTACAGTCGTTTGATGCACCAATTACCGGTTCAGATGTGCATTGTGCCCGTAGAACCTGGATGCCTTTGCTTTGTTACAGTTTATAGGAGAACTATAGTGATTTAAAAACGAGGCTTGACACCTGCTGTAGGGCTTATTTCAAATCAATTCCACAAGTTTTGGTGGCTACGTGAGTGCATGAACAAATGAGTGAAAGATAGGTCAAAATGGACCAGTTGGGAGGTCGGGCGACCTGGCCCAACCCAAGGTCAGCCAACCCAACCCTAACCCATCCTTGCCCACCATTTCACCACATGTAAGGAACCTAGAAGTCATCACATATGTTGGTTCAACGTCGGTTCACATCAAGGAATGAAATGAAGCCAATAGAACAAATGATTTTCAACTTTGACCAACTCAATTAATGCACTCCATATGGCTCGTCGATCGACTCACCACTCACCAACCAAATTTGAACGACAAAGGCTGTTGGGGCACTTCGGGCAACTCTCTCAGAAGTATCTTAGAAACCATAAATATCCTCTCTACCCCTTCAAATCATTTAGCCTTATTTCTATCATAGGACGGTCCTAATTCTTTACTAATTCACTTCATGTTTCCAGTGGAAATCGATACCTTGGAATACTCCTGGGTGAATGCTTGATATCTGTACATTTGTAGATTTATTTGTTTGCCACATTTAGTGTCAACACCATGGTCACACAAAACACATGCATTAGATAATGAATAAGTTTCATCACAGCCCAAAAGAAACCATAAGTAGATGCCCACAAGTCCACAACCATCACATAGTATGTCACAAATTTGACTTCAACATCACAACCAACACGACCTAGAGTACACATCATAACATAGTTTACCATAAGTACACAAATTAAGTCCTAAGTTCACATATCACGTGAAGCTAAGTCTTACCATCACGACATTCGGACATAGGTGTCTTGAGGCGGTGGTGGTGGTTGAATAGGGTAGAACATCGAAGGGGGACCATGGGACGAATGCTTGGTGGGACAACCAAGGCATTGGGAACTTCACATAGTAGTGCTCGGTGGAGTAATTGAAGGAGTGGAAGAAGTTATGGAAGGTGTTGGTGAAGTCAATGGACATGTCCTAGAACTACGACCCGTTGATGCTGAGTCTCTAGACGATACCACATGTTATCATCATATCATTGGGAGTCTTGTCTATATTGGTATCACCCATCTAGACATTTCTCACTTTGTCCACATCCTGAGTTGGTTCATCTCTTCTACCTAGATCCACTATGCTCACTTCACATTCTCTGTGTTATGCGGAACCATTTCTTGTCGTCTTTTCTTTCCTCGCTCTAATTGCTTTAGCTTTAGGCATGCTCTAATGCGAATTGGGGAAGTGATCACTCTAGTCGCGGTTCTCTCAATTTACTATGTTTTCATTGGCTCCACTTTGATTACCTAGAAGACCAAGAAGCAGATTGGAGTTTCTTGTTCTAGCACCGAGATTGATGAGTTGACGGCTATGGCAACTATGACTGTAGGTGACCTGGTTAAAATCGTTACTTGAGGATTTCGGTATGGTTGTCACACCGACTCTCTCTCCCTCTCTTTTTGAAAAGGGAGAATTGGATTCTTGCCCTTACAATTTTCAGAAGTCGGAGATTTGCCCTTACAATTCGAGGAATTGGAGATTTGCCCTTCATATTCTTGCCCTCCCTGAGCTTTGCCCTTTTCTACGTATGAAGCCTTCTTGGACCCACTTGCAGCACTTGTATTTCTGTATTGGACCAAAATGCCCCTGGGTCCCATCAGTCTTTAACTCAACCGAACGGGTATTGAACCCACGGTCTTCTCTCTATCTCCCTCACCGATTTCTCTCTCCTGTGTTCTTCCTTGTTACCTCAATCGAAGAACCCTAGCCATCGATTGGAGGCCAGCGCTCGGGTGACTGGAGGTGGCTGGTCGAGAGGATGCGTGGCGCTTGACGGACGGGGCAACAGTGGGCGCTGCTGCTCCTTGAGGCCGGGCGCACATTGATTGAGGCATTGGGCTGGGCGAGAGAGGCGATGGCAGCAGCAGAGATTGAAGGCGACGCCAAGCGATTGAAGGCAACGGCGATTGAGGTGCCCCATTCTTCTCCTTTTTCCCTGGTACACCCCATTGTCGTCGTGGTTCGACTTTTAGCTTGATCTGCGCCTTATCGCCGTTGACGCCCTACTTTGTCTTTGTCATGTGCATATGGTGGTGCTGTTGTTGCCCGGATGAGTGGCGGTCAGTATATGGGAGGGTGTTGTTGGCTCGGCTCACTGGGGCATCCAGCTCGGCTTTTCGCCCCACTCGTGGACTGCCCACACTGCAAGGTGAAATTAGTATGGATCCGAAGCAAGCAGCAGGCCACTTTTGGCCAGACCTTCGTCAAGTGTCCGAACAACATCAAAGTAAGTCAAATTTTTTTGTTCAATTTTGTGCTTTTGGATGGTGGTCATGAAGGTATGGTTTCATCGGCTGCAGGATGACCCAACTACATGTGGCATCATCATGTCCGAGAAGCGGTATGAAGATGTCCTACGCAATCCAGAGCAGCATCCAATTTGGTGGAAGAAGGCGATCCTTTCCAGTTGTGCAGATGGTGGACATGGGTCTGTCGACCCTATTCTAGAGTTCAAGGAAGATTTCGATAAAATAAAGGCAAAACTTGACAATGCTGTGAATGATGTCTCGAAGTTGAAGGTGCAAGTAGAGATTCTAAAGAAGGACCATGTCATTATTGCAGCCGTGTGTGTAGGTGTAGTCATTGGTTGTATTCTGAGCACAATTTGGAAGTGATGTAGCCGTGTGTGTGGCTTTTGCCCATCAGATGTATGACAATAGCTATTTGCTAATAATTGAGTTTGGAATTTGCAGCCTTGCTGCCATTTTGTTATCTATTTGAGCAATGTTAGAGCTTAGGCTCCTGAGGCTGTAGCCAATTCTTAGGTCTTGCCAATGCTTAGGTCTGATAGGTCTTGTTACTTCTCCTAGCATAGGTCTTGCCGACCATAACAAGCAATCTGGTGGTGTATGTTGTCATATAATTGAACTTTGCTCTTGTCATTCTATCATCTAATTGAGCAATGCTCTTGTCATCAAATAAAATTCAGCAGGATTCACATAAGCATTTCAACTTGTTCACTTCCATCACAGATCACACACAGTTCACAGTTTGCTGCCATCAAAGGCATGTAGTTGACAATTCACTAACATTATATTACAAAACAAAGGTCACAAAATATCTGGAAATGCACCATTAGTCTCAGTGTCCTCCACAGAACATGTCCATCAGGCTTCTCACAACCTTTGCTAAAGGAGTAGCAGCATCCTTCTTCTGCTTCTTCTTCAACGGTGTTTTTTTCTTCTTAGAAGTTGTCTTTTTCTTTGAAGCCTTCTTTTTATTCCCTTTGGATGGTCCAGCATCATCAGCTTTGGATGGTCCAGCATCATCATCTGTCCTCTTCTTGTAAATGCACTTTTCATTAAACCACAGTACTAGTAAAATGCATATAACAGTAAATAATTTAAATAAAATCTTGCCTTTTGTTGGGTCTAGCAACTTCACCATCCTCTCCAACCATGTCAAGCTTGCAGGTCTTCTCAAAGTGTCCAAAACCTCCACACCGTTTACATCTCACTTTCTTCTTGTTGGGATTGATCTCTAGATAACTCCTAATCCTTTGCACCTTTGGCCAACCTGCTGGTCTTCCCAACAACGGTGGGTGAACCTTGAACCCAAGATCAACTTCTGGCCACTGGGACCTGTCTGTCATTGGTTCAACCCTTCCTTCATAGGCAGCTCTGAACTTAGCAACTGAGTAATACTCATGCACGAAGTCAGCTATCTGCATTCCTCTATTAGACAATATCCATGCCAAGGCATGCTTGCATGGCTTGCCAGTTACCTGCCATTCTCTACATGAACAATTCTGATTTTTTAGATCCACAGTATGCCTTCTCTGGTTGTTCCAATCATCAAGTAGTGTCACCTCAGCAAAGTCATCAACACTAACTTTCACCTTGACAACCTTCAGATTGGTGCTTATAAGATTCAGTTCCTTCAAAATACCTGGTAGGATCCCATCTTGCAGCTATTGTCCAATCTTCCTTCTAATATACCTTTTCTTCATTATCAGCTCCCTTAACCTGTCTACTAACTCATGGATGAGTTTCAAGTGCTTGATCTGAGAATTGAAACTCTCAGAAATATTGTTAGTCAAATAATCACATTTGCTCTCTTCAGAAAAGGCACTTCTGTACCAAATTCTACCATGATGCTGGTCAAGGTACTTAAGTGCAGCTGGAGCATACTCAAAAATTTTGTTCATATGCCACTTAAACATATAGTCAGTATAGCTCTTAGCTGCAGGGTAGAGATGGTCATTGAAAACATCCCCTGAGAAGTGTTTCATGAAGTTGCTGTACATGTGCCTCATGCACTCCCTGTTTTCAGCTTGTGGAAAAACAGCCCCCACAGCTTTCCCTAGTCCTTTATAAGCATCTGAACACAAAACTAGTCCTGGTGGGTCTCCTATGACTTTGTGCAGATTTTTTAGGAACCAGGTCCAGTTGTCCTCAGTCTCTGAGTCAAAAATAGCATATGCTACAGCCAGTTGTGCCCATCAATACATGTTGTTGCAGCCAACTATCCAGTGTACTTCCATGCAAAAAAGATGCATCTACACCAATGAAAGGTCTACAACCAGCTAGGAATCCATCAATGCATGGCTTCAAAGTAACCAAAACCCTCTTGAACCTATATTTTTTACCAATCTTCTCTAACTCTATGTCTACATGACTTCCAGGTGAACTTTGTTTTAGTTGAGCAGCCCAATTGAAAAGAAGTTGGAAGCTCTCTTCATACGTACCATGAACTTTATCCAAGGCGACCTTCAATCCAGACCAAGCTTTTGAGTACTTTAGTTTAATTCCAAAGTCACCCTCTAATTTCTCTTTTGCTTCCTTTGCTCTCTTTGTTGGATTCTTCTTTACCCAATCTCCAAGCCTATCTGCACACCAGCCCTGAGAAGCCATTCTCCCTTCTCTAAGCTTGGTGGTAGGACAATCGTGATCTGAAAGAAGCTTTTTGATCTACAGAAAGGCAGATAGACATGGTAATGCTTTTGCAAATATAAACAAGATCATTTATCAAATACAAAACAACTACAAAGAATGTACCTGTACAGTTTTCTTATCAAAAATGGTGGAAGCATGTATTCTCCAAGGGCATCCCTCAGTAGCACGCCTAGCTGTGAATCTTGACTTATCTGATTTGTACCCAGCAGCAAGCTCAAACCCCTTGTTCACAGCATAGTGCCTTATTGCTTTTCTGAATGCAACTATATCAGGAAACAACACCCCACCTCTATTTTTGGGTTGTTTGGATCATGCAGTACTGGGACCTCGAGAGGGTTAGCATCATCCACCTCTGCCTCTACCTCAACATGGAAGAATGGATCAGATGGCTCAGCATAAGTTGGCTCAGCCCTAACATTAGTGTTAGAATTGTCAGTTGGCTTTGCAAATTGAGGAGCAACGGGCACAATCCCATACATGGCCTCATCATCAATACCCACATATTCCTCAGCATTATCAAATATATCGGGTTCTCTATCTGGCTCGACATCAACAGCTGCCTCTGGATTATCAGGAGCAGCATTAGTGGGTTCTTTAGACATGTTGGCAGCTGCCTCTTGCCTCTAATTGAACATTTGCATCATCATGAGGAACCACACATACAGGCCCCATGGCATCAAATTCAGCTTCCACACAAATTGATCTATCGAATACACCTACCACAACCTCACAACTCATCTCCTCCTTATACATTTCAAACAAATCTAGCATTTGAATCTCACAAACTATTCTGGCATCCTCATTCAATCTTTTGTCAAAGAACCAAACAGTGGGTGTCTGGTTACTGCTCAGATTCAATTCAGTTGCCAAATTTTTTAATAGTAAGTCCAGTGACATTGACCCATACTCCACATCCTACTTAAACACATGGCCTTTTGTGTAACATTTCCTACTAGCAGAATCTTTGGAAGCAAAACCTTGGACTTTAACCTCTAGCACAAACATCCCATCCCTACCATGCAGTAAATCAAACTCCAAATCAAAGTGTATATATGCACAGCTAATCGATTCCACCAAATCAAGGGAACTGTGGTCACCACAATTAAACAAGGGAAAGGAAGAGGAAAGATTACCTAGGAGCAGTGTTCTCCATCGTTGCCGCACTAGTGCGGCAAATCGGCGCGCCCGACTCCGGTCCCTCCATCAGGGCGCCTCCATCGCCACCACTGGACACGCACGGGTGGTTAGGGTTCGTCGCAGCCGCAGATCCTATCGTCGCGCGTCGGCTTCCAATCGCCCGTTGTCTCCACTCTCCAGTTCTAGGGTTTGTTGGGGGAGAAAGGGGAAGAACACAAGAGGGAGAGAGACGGGAGGGAGAGAGAACACGGGAGGGAGAAGGGAAAAGCACGGGAGATGGATGGATGCGGCTTCAGCCTGTTCGCCTCTCCCTTTTCCTCTTGTCCAGGGGGGCATTTTGGTCCAATACAGAAATACAAGTGCTGCAAGTGGGTCCAAGAAGGCTTCATACGTAGAAAAGGGCAAAGCTCAGGGAGGGCAAGAATATGAAGGGCAAATCTCCAATTCCTCGAATTGTAAGGGCAAATCTCCAACTTCTGAAAATTGTAAGGGCAAGAATCCAATTCACCCTTTTGAAAACTACTCCCCCCCCTCCCCCCCACCCCCCTCTCTCTCTCTCTCCCTCCCTCTCCAATACCTAGTGCTCTCAAAGGTTCAGCTAGTAGACCTCCTCAAAAAGGCACGGACGCGAGACACGAGTGCACCGTAGTTATTTGCCGAGGAAAGAACAGTGTTCGGAGGGAGTACATCTTGTCTAAAGCACTTGCCACAGGGCTGCACATATTTATCAAATAATAATATAATAATAATAGAATTGACAACAGGAATCGGACAGACACATCAATGGGTCCAGGAGAGACATGCAAATCTGCAAAGCACAATGAGAAATTTGCCAGAGTCAAAGGGAAAATGGAGCACCATCACACTTCACATTAATTATTAAATGGAACCCTTTTTAGGGATTTGCTACATTCTTTCAGTGCCCTCTTGCAGACAACATCTGTCCAGGACGTCGCATAAACTCACTCCAATAAAGAGATGTTTCTAGGTAATATGCCCACTTTCTCATATTTAGAACAACAACATTTTTTTTCTTCTCAAAAACGTAGGAGAGCTGCGCCTCATTATATTAAGAAGAGAAAAGGGCAAGAGCCCAAACAACCCCACAAACACCACACACACGCAGCATACACACACGCACTCACTCAACAGTTTTCAAGATTACATTCGCGCCCGTGATAAAAACACAAAGGCGACCAAAATAAGCTAGAACAACAACGTTTTCCAAACAATGAAGGGGTTCTTGGTTACACTAGCTTAGCTTGTGGGAAGAACCGCAAGATCATCTCATTATTGAATCCTGACATTTATTTGTGGCTGCAATATTGTCTCAATGGAAATTCGAGTGAGCCTGGGGCAAGAAATTATCTCCAGTGACTCCAGAGACGAGAGCTTCTCCACCCAAGAAGGAAGTCTTCTTCCAGGGTAATTATCAATTCGAAGATGCTTCACTCCAGTATGTGGACAGAGTGCCTCAATGACTCTCTCACTCTCCTCTATGTATACCTGCTGTGTGCAGGTGTCAGCACTCCATCTCAGCATCAGTTTGTGCAGATGCTCCTTTCCACTCAAATTGGCCTCCATGGCAACATCATGAGTGGCAGCTTCCAATTTAAGAATGCAGAGCTCTCCACGGATGTTCAAGTTTTTCAACTCATTGAGGTTACACTTTGCTCCATCTCGGGCGGCTACAACAAATCTTGAAAGAGTCCGAAGTGACTGCAACTTGTCAATGCCACTTGGCATTGATCTAAAAGCAGTAACTCTATCCCAATGAAGATGTAAACAGAGGTGCCTCATGTTAACTAAGCGGCTCATACCTTCAGGTAAATCCATAAGCCGGTAGCAGTCCCCAAGGTCGAGTGTCTGCAGATTGAATAGGTTGCAAATTGTTTCTGGAAGAGCCTCTATCAAAGTATTCCGAAGGCTGAGGTATCTGAGGTGTATTGATGACCCAATAGAATCTGGCAAGACATGTAGCTCAGTATAACTCAGATCAAGAGCACGTAGACAAGTTGACTTTGAGAATAGTGCTGATGGAACCTGCTTTGAGGGAAGTTTCATTGCAGGGCATATCTTCAAGAGCCTCATATTTTCATAGTGCTGAATGCTGTCAAATACAAGAGGCTCATCTTTTGGGCACGTGACAGTTACATAACGAATCCACTCAGGATGGTCAGCAATGTGTGAGTTATCAGGATCAAATATCAGAGCTTCATGTTTAGAAACAAACCGTGCTTGCTCATGCATCAAAGCTGGCACTCTGAACTTTGGAGTAGGGAAGCTGTTGGAAGTTTCAAAGAACGACCTCCCTAGGAGCTCATCAAAGCACCTGCCTGCTACCATCTCAACTGGTCTCCTACCATTGCTGTTAACAAGACCATCAGCAATCCACAGTTGGACCACCTCATCCTTCTCAAATTCATAACCAACAGGAAACATTGAACAAAAGGCAAAACACTGTTTGAGATGGTATGGCAAGTGTTGATAACTTATTTGCAAAGTTGCCACAATAGTATCTGTGTTTCTGTCATGTTCAAGAAACTGCATATCACTTAGAATGCTTTCCCACTGTTCTATCTGTCCATTAGTGCCAGACAAAAGCACCCCAATAGACTTGGCTGCTAATGGAGAGCCAAGGCATTTTTCGGCAATCCTCTTCACAAGCAGCTCCAAATCATGCTGATCTCTGCTAATTATCCCTGAGAAAGCATAGACTCTAAGGATCTGAGAGCACGCATCAATTCCCAAACCCTTCAAATTGATGTTAAGAATATTGGATGCCATCCTCGAAACCATTTCACTTTGAGTAGTGATCAAAATTTTGCTTCCTTTCTCTCCTGCAAAAGAGGGCCTCAGAGATTCCCAGAACTGAAAGCCCTCAGCCCAAAGGTTATCGATCACCAGCAAGAACCGCCTTTGGCTCAGATGCTCCCGCAATTTTTGTTGCAATATGTCCAAGCTTAGAAGGTCACATTTTTGCCTGGTCACGGCTTCTATTATCATCTTGGTGGCTCTCCTCACATCACACCTATCTGGTAACCAAACCCAAATCTTTTCAGCAAAGAAGTTCTGTACCTCCTGATCACCATAGACCAACCGCGCCAGCGCTGTCTTCCCGATCCCTGCAGTGCCCCAGATGGAAATCACAGGAAGGTCCATGCCACTGTCAGCGAGCAGAGCACGGATGATCTTCTCCTTCTCCGCGGCACGGCCTATGGGTCTCTCGTCGAGATGTGAAGCAGCTTCAACAAACCTTCGGCTCTCCTGCATCGGCTGAGCCGTCCTCCTTCCGTCCCCGGCCTGCAACCGGAAACTTTTCTTCAACTTGTGGATCTCCTCGAGGCGCTCATTGATTTTGGAGATCCAGGCATCTAGCTCCCAGCGCTGCCGCAGGCCGAGCTCGATGTTGGGCCAGAGCCGCTTCCGCTTCCGCGACGGCTCCGCAGCACCCAGCCTGGACACGGCTGTGATGGTGTTCAGGCGGTCCAGCAGGGTGTCGACGTCGAATGCGGTGGCCCTGAGCTCCTGGAGCCAGAGCTTGACATGGTCGTCAACGATGAATCGGCGCTGCTCGGCGTCGTTGAGCACCGCGCGTATGTGATCCTTGGCGTGCCGGAGCTTCTGGGCCTCCTCCTCGACGTCCAGCAGGCGGGCCCCCCTGGACCAGAGCTTGTCGAGAATCGCGCCGCCGATCTTCTCCGGGATGCCGATTGCCGAGGAGAGCTTCTGGAGCAGATCCATGGAGCGACGAGGTTGCGGCGCGCCAAGAAAGGAGACTAGGAGAGCTCTACCGAAAATGGAATGCAAGGGGAAATCTTGCGCGGCGCTGAGGAGCAGCGATTCGGAGGTGTTATTATGAAAGCTCGCTTCGTGTAGAGTGCCCCACTGGTTCTTGGCGTGCAACTGAGTGAGAATTTCACTGGCAGCTTCGGCGAAGGTCCATGGTCGCTTCGTCGAAGGTTCGTGGCGATGGTGACGATGGGGAGAAGGCGGGGAAAAGAGAACAGTAGAGCCTGCACCTATCGGGCAAATGAACGAACGCCTCCCCGGCGTGGTTGCGGACTTGAGGTTGCTGTCAAGTGTCAACGGCGGTTTCAGCGGCACAGACGAGGGAAGAAGAGTGACATGTCACCTCATTCAAAAACTGTGTCCGAAAGCGTATCGGAACTTTGAAGCGATGCTTTTGCACTTCGAAATTCCGAATGAATCATGTTTGATCTGTGATATAGCGTGAAATGTAGTTGTGGAAGTATCCACAGAAAATTGGAAATTTAGCAGATGGATCGTCGTCCTCTCGGTGGCAATCGAGCCATTATATCATCCTTCATCCGTCGGTAAGGGTAAGTTTTGCGTGCGTGCGTTTATAAAGCCGTGTAATTTAAAAAAAATAAACATTCCACTTGATGTGCTACCCTATATTTACACCATCTGCTCAGCAAGCTAGGACAATCGAAGGAGTGATCAGTGATGGATGGTGTTCAACGATCAGACCACCGCCTTGAGCTTAATCTGTGCCCCATGCATCGGGTGCAGTGTGATCACGGTGTGTGGCGCATGAGTGTAGGATGGCGCGAGCTCGAACTCCAACCGCTGAAGGATCATGCTCAGAGCCATCTTGGCCTCGAGCAGCGCGAAGTTCTGGCCGATGCAGGTGCGTGGCCTCCAGCCGAATGGGAAGAACGCGGCGGGCGCCTTGGAGACCCCCCTCAGCGAACCTGTCCGGCCTGAACTCGTGCACGTCGCTCCCCCAGAGATCCGGGTCATGGTGGATAAGCAGCACGGGCAGGTCGATCACAACCCCGGCAGGGTACCTAACGCCGCCGATCTCCATCTCCTTGTATGTCTTCCGGCTGATCGCGATAGCCGGAGGGTACAGCCGGAGAACCTCGTGAAGGATCATCGTCAGCTGCATCGATGGAGCAACAATATATGTTCAGTCAGGCCTACGTCTGGAAGTCTGGAGGGAACAAGTTTCGTACACTGAAAAGATGGAGTAACAGGCGAATGAACTCACAATTTTGAGACGGCTGAGGCCATCATATTCCGGCTTGTTTTTCCCGAACAGGCCAAAGACCTCCTCTTTCGCACGGTCCTGCCACTCCGGGTGCATGCATAGCAGGACCATTGCCCAGGTGAGCAGCACGGACGTGGTCTCCATTCCTGCGAAGTAGAAGAGCTTGCACTCCTCGATGACGTCTTCGATTGTCATCCCCAGGCTGGACTGCCCATGCTCGTCCGTGTCTCTCATGTTTAACTCGAGAAACAGACCCAGCAAGTCGTCTTTGCCGTGGCTCTCGCCTTCTTTCATGGCCTGCATCCGTTTCTCGATCAATCCTCGTAAGAGCGAGCTGACTTCGTTGTTGATTTCGTGCATCCTCCTGTTGTTTTTGGTCGGCAAATACCTGGTGGGTTCGTTCCATAGCGTTAGCAGTTAGCATCGGTCTGGTCAGATCAGTTCAATAGCAGTAGAGCATATATGCTGTAGAACACTAGAACTCACAGGTAGCCTGGGATGATGATCTTCTGAATGGTGGCTACGAGGCGCTCAGCTTGCTCTGCCTGCAGCTGGAAAATCCGCCTCCCTCGAGGTAGCTGCTGCCGAATGTGGTGCGAGAAATGACGTCTCCGGTGAGGTTCTGGAGCTCCGGCCAAACATCCAGCTCGCACCAACCGTCGGAGCTCTTCACAGACTCCACCCAGTTGCTAACCAGCTCGTCGCAGCACGCGGAAAACGCCGGCAGCATACTCTGAAATGAAGGGTCAGAGTACATCACAAGAGCATTGCAATAAGCCGATCATCAGGGAATAATGGAAGGGCATGCCCAGAAAACAATATATCATGAGAAGACCTTGCTGTAGACATACCTTGAGCTTCTCGACATGGAATGCGGGGTTGAGGATCCTCCTGTGCTTGACCCACTTCTCGCCCTCGAGGCCCGCGACGCCATCGACGAGCAGCTTGGTCAGTGCCGGGAAATTGGGCTTCTCCAAGTGCCCGAACTTGTTGGACAGCACGTCCCTGGCCACCTGCGGGTCGGCGACGACCACCCTGGGCACCGGGCCGAACCAGAGAAGGCACGCCTGCTTCCCGTGCTCCCGGACGTTCCTGCAGAGGAACGGCGCGACGCGGGGCGCGATGTCGTGGCACCGCAGCGGCAGGGGCCTCGACCACGCCTCCCTGTTCATCCGGGCGTTCTCCCTGAGGTCGCGCGCCAGGAGGCGGTGCGGGGTGCCGCCCAGGCCCTGTGCGCGCTCCAGCCGCCGGGGACGCCACCACAGCCGGTGCAGCAGCCGGCCGGCCTGCCTCAGGAGCGACAGGGCCAGGATACCGTAGACCAGGAAGCTCCATGGCACACATGGCGCCGCGGCTGCGAGCGAGGAGGCTCCCGCCCGAAGCATCCCTCTCACTCTCACGATCGAGCTGAGAGATGATGGTGAAATAGAGTGGAAGATGGATTTGCTATGGCATGGCCTCTGTCGCCGTCGGCTTAAATAGACATCACTACTGGACAGTGGACACTCTATTAGCCAGGCCTGGTCATGCCCTGCTCCGAAGGAACTTGGTGGTGAAGTTCCATGCCACGATTGGCTTCGGAGCAGCATCGTTGACTGGTTGTTGCTCTGCGTGAGCTCAGATTGCTTGTCCTCATTTGAAAACATGCGCCGTCAGAGGGTTGACAAAAGGACTTCAGAAGCATCGACAGCCTACAGCCGTAATACTGTTGTGCTGTTCTTGTTCTCTACTCCGTGGTTCCTATCGTCGATCGACAAATATCGTTCAATCCCGGGCACGACAAATAGCCGCTGGTATATACACCCTTGCTAGGGCGGTGCTGAACCATGAACATGGCATGCAGAACCAAAACTCTTGAGAAGGCACCATTTGACACAAACATGGAGGGGTTTTTAACTAGTGGATTCTTTACTTCATATTGTGTGTGTGTGTGTGGCGGCTTTGAACATGAACAGCTCCGCTTAGCTAGTGGATGTGAAGCTTTCAATAGAGTTAAGAATGTTTTGATAGAACTTTTTGACAAACAGCTCTATATGTGAAGCTCCTTAAAACATTGTACAAATCACATGTAAGAGACCACCTAAGCGAGCTGAAGTTGAGAGAAACAGCTGTTTTCAGCTCCAAAATAGCTCCGTTTCAATCAATCCTTGTGAGAGCATGTTTTAAGAAGCTTCACATGCAAAACTGTTTAAAAAATACCCGTTTAACATAAAACAACTTCAAATAGCTCATGAAGCTACCAGAGAATATGTGCCAAACAGGGCCTAGATAGTAGCGGGATTAAGCACCGAGCACTTATATTTGTTATAAGAGGAAATGTACTTTAAATCTACAAGACTACAAATGAACCATCCAGGGAACAAAGGCAAACCATGCGTTTATTACATTGAGCAATCCCAGTTGGCGAAAGGGAACAAAAAGAATGGCATCACATTGAACAACCCACAAAGCATACTAAGGATGAATGACAAAGGCTTCTAAATACCTGGGGATGGAAAGGGGAAAATGCTGGCACAGAACTACAATCTATATATACTCCTCCATGTATACCTTGTTAATGTGTAGAAACCTAAACAAATAGAACGGAAAATGGAGAACAAATGGTGAATCAAGGCAAAACCCTAGCATCAAACCCAGGATCTAAACTCACTACTACAGATCAGTAAACTAAGCCAAAAACTATAACGATTGAGATTTATATATATATTATATATAAAAAATGAAAAATAAGTTACTGCCGTGCTGTTTCTATGATGAAGATGCAACCTCAATGGCACTACCAAGGGGCCATGCTGCTTCAACATACGAATCACCATAAGGCACTTTCTTTACCAAGGTAATGTCTTGATAAGGATCAACACCTGAGAGAACAAAAAAAGCAGGTGTAAGAACATAGGTGTGGGGGGTAATAACTTCTAAGTTCTACAGTTATCATGATATTTTTTTAGTTTGAAATAAGCCATACCAAATCCATCGACAAGTAATGTGTACTGGTAGACAAGATCTATGCAAAGGTAGGGAATGTTCTCCTCTGAGACATCGGGGTAGGTTGCCTGTGCATCCTTCAAGTTCAATTTACAAACCCGGCGTGCAGTTTCTTCAAAGTCTGAAGGTTTAACGTTAGCAACTGCTTTTTTTGGGTCCACGAAACCAGCCTGAACAGAGATGGGACACAGTTAGGTGCTCATCGTGACTACGCCAATAGCAATTCACTTCAGACAGATCAGAAAGCACAATTGTAAATTAGACTTGCCTCAGCAGCCCTATCAAAGAAAAAGGATGCTACAAAAAGATTCTTTTGTCCATCTCCACCACCACCATTCCACACACCGCCAAATGTGCATTTCATATGTGTGCATGCTGGCTCATCAACTTTAAGAGCTCTAACTGCAAGAGCCCTGCACTTGGAATAACTAGCACCAGAAGGTGATCCTGATGCTTCAAATGTATTACCACCATAATTGTATTTCCCTGAATTTAATAGCACATTTAAGATATGATAATTTTATGAGCAATAAACAGAAAACAGATACTGACAATTTGATGATAGTAGTTTGAATGGGTAAATTTCATCTTTGTTGGAAACTGAAATATGTATTGTATTCATTGCAGGATCAATCTGCTGATAAAGTTGCATGCTTTTATCAACGGCCTCATTATCAGAATGGTGTAATGTTTTGACTAATATTTGATAGCACACAAAATTCATAAGACAAGTCAACATATTGCTTTATGTATTTTCACAACAGGGCATGGACCCTGCATAGAATAGAACAAAGCTCAGGACAATAGTCTTTCCAAGCATTTGGTTTTGTTACAAAATAACCATTTGCCCTATTAATGCTGATATAATTTCAGTAAGAACATAGGAAGTTCATTTCACATTCCAAAAAGACAGACGTAATGATATGTCAGATTTAGATATTGGGCCTAGTAGATTAAAGCAAGCAACCATACCAAGATGCCCCTCCAACATACAGTCGCTGTAATCACTGCCTTCGCCAGCTTTTAAGATCTCCGCTCTAGCCGCCAGCAAACCATAATGCAAATAACTGTGGATAACAACATTTGCAGTTATATATTATAGTTATGTTCTCTACACATCTTATTCAGAAGGAGGCAATCTTATGATGCCCGTCCCAACAGTAGTCCATCGCATTGTGGTAAACGATATTGTTCCATGTCAGATTTATTATAATGTAAAAAAGGGGAAGAAGTGATAGAGTTGACCAAAATACGTATATAGTGGCCTCACTTGGTGACAAGTAAGAGCAAGGATAATAATACAGCCGGCTGCTGGCTGTAAGGCTTTTTTGCAGCCTTCTCTCAGCCCACTCATATAATAGTTAGCTCTTCACTATTAATACATGGCCCACTTATCTCTCTCACAAAGTTTCTTGGTTCTTGTGCCTAAGTCGACTGTAAGCTTACAACCCACTTCTCCCCTCTTTCCTCTCCTCTCTCCTCCACCTCAGCATTTAGCCAGCTTATAGCCTGCTATTATACATGCTCTAAACACTTCAAGTATGATGGGATGCCAAATATTCTTATTCCTCACTTGGTGACAAACAAGTAAACCAGTTTTAACTCTTCAATATTACAAAACCATTTTTGGACCCAACCACTCAAGTTGCTAACAACCTGTAGCAACCTCCAAATAATTGCATGTTTCACCTTTCTACAGTGTGGTACTCAAACTTCAAATAAGATATATAGTTCTCGGTCAATCCTACTATTAGTAGCCAACAATGTCATAAAGACTGCAAATGGAATGGTTTAACCAATATAGAATAATGGAGTACGCCACACTAGTCACATGTTTTACAGTTTTAGGCATCATTGGTATATTAGAATGGCAGAAAATAGCAGTAGAACAAAGTCAACGATAAATCTCAGATTGTCATGACACATTTGATTCAGACCTGTGAACATAAAGATAGTATGTTGTTCCCTTAAGTAGCAGCTCCTTCACATATGAATCTTCACCATCTGCCACTTCAGGTGCCTTTGCTGCATCCTTCTCTGAGATAGCATAAGCCATTTGGACTGAACCACCTCCTAAATCAACAACTCCAACTGTATTTGAGTATGGCTTTCCCAATTTTCCCAAAAGATAATTGATGGTAACCTAGAAAAGACATCCATGTTGCTTCTTTTAATGTGAAGGTTGTAGAAGAACAGCAAGTGGAGAAACTGTTTTACTTTCAAAGTTAAAATGCCAAAGTCAAAGTTAAGACAGGAACATACAAAGATACACAGCTCTCCTGCGTATTCGAGAAAAAAAAAAGTTAAGACAGGAACAAGTTAAAACCAACTGCTCACGCCATTCCAAACTATAGGTCACTTTAGTTTTGTCCTAAGTCAAACGTCTCTAACTTTGATCAAGTTTTTATAAAATTTATTAATATCCAGAAGTTCAAATAGAATGCACTATCAAGACATATTTCATGGAGAAATTAAAGAAACGAATTTGATATTGTAGATGATGGTGCATTTTCTATAAACTTAGTCAAACTTAGAGAGGTTTGACTTTGGACAAAGCTAAAGTAGCCTATTGGAAAGAGAACCGCGGGGGGTGGGGTGGGGGGGATGTTACAGAACACTGTTAACAATCCTAAAGACCTAAACAACAAAAAAGGAAGAAAAAAAAAGGCTCTTGGAGAAAATTAGAACAACACAGTACCCACTGGAATGCGCCTTCCTGTGATCCATCTAGAACAGTGACCCAATTTGGCTGGGATTTGAAAGAACTCCTGTCATGGAGAAGTTCCCTAACCTGAAGAACTCATATTCAGCAACAACAAAAGGAAATCAGGCAATTCAAAACTAAAAGAGAATACGCAGCGCATCAAATACAAATGTAAAAAATAAGGCTACAGAAGAAAAGATGGAATGCTCAGATCTTGATGGATAAGACAAGACATGGAGAATATTTACCGCTTGCAAAATTTCTTCAGACCTTTCAGTCCCTAATGCTCTGAGACCTGCAGTGGCCTGCATAAGGGTCCAAAATCATGTTTTCGCTTGAAACACTGTTGCAAAAACTGATACTGTTTCAGTTTTCACTACCATAAGAAGCAATACAGGAACCATAACTCACCCCAACCCTGACAGGTGTTTGTCCACGCAACTCTGCTGGAACTACTTTCTCAGCTTCCTCCAAAAGAGAAATAAGTGATTCAGCAGCCTCCTGTGGACCCTTTGCTGCACTCAGGCCTGGTTTTTTCTAGAGCCAACATGAGAGAGAGATAAACAATCAGAGAAGTTAGAATCCCTCTCTTTTCTGGATGGTCAATTAGTCTGCTCAATTCAAATATATAATAGGACGACAATATATTAGCTAGTAGGGTAATTACAGATGATCAGGTCAATGAGTAGAAATGAA